CTTCAGTCATCCTGGGAAGTCACCTGGTTTCTTTTTGTCCTCTAGGAATTGCTTTTGACACACCTGGGATGACTGTCTGCTCTTCTCTTCCTTTCCTCTCTTCCTCTGTTCTTAGCATTGTTTGATTAGTTAGTGAATGAATGGACCCACAGATTGCTCACTGTCTGCCTGAACTCTTTAACCGCAGCTGCTGGACCTGATGCATACCCTACACACACGCGCTGCGAACATCTACAGCTCTTGGGCAGAGGAGGAGGAGCAGCAGCACCATCTAGAGGCCGCGGGAAAGAAAATCGAAGCCGACTCTCAGACCTTGTGGGCCAGTTGCTGGTGCCCACTCCTGCAAGGTAACACCAGTGCCACCCTAGCCTGCCAGGAGGCCGCCGCTGCCCACATCAGAGTGAGACATGTGAGGCAGCTGCAGGGGCCCTTCAGAGGAGCGGGGACTCAAACCAAGGCTGCCTGTCACTGGGTGCAAGGAGCCAGATATGCGGTGTGCTCACACCAGCATCTGGAGAGCTCGGGAGGGAAGACTGTTTGCCAGGGCAGGGTCTCTGATGTGCACGGATGAGCTTCCCGTCAGTCATCTCCAGGTCCTCCCGAAGGGTGGCATTTCCAGTCCGTTTCAGTGGCTGGCTTCAGCCTTGATCTTCCCGTCTCCTTTGAGGCCGTGACATTCTTTTTTCTTGGTCACGGTTGAGGGAGTTCCCCACCCAGCCACCCAGCCTGACTTTTCATGGAACTCATGACTCACCAAAGTGATTCCTGTGGTGGTTTTGCGTATGGGAACATGTAGCGGCAATCACTCCTGTGCACATTTTTCAGGATTTCAAATCCCCAGAATTCTGGCTGCAGTTCAGGATTGTCGTGGGAGCAGAAGTCACAGCTGCCGCCCCACCCCCCACCCCCAATGTGGTCTCTGATGCAGGGGGAAAGTCAGTGCTCAGGAGGGCCCCAGTGAAAGGCCCGGGTTCTGTGGCTGTGCGGTAGATCTCAGTGCATTCCCCCCCCCCCCCCCCCCCTTCCCCCAAGTTGCTTGGAGCTGTGTGCATCAATACCTCTTCCTCCATTTGACCCTCAAAACAACCCTGTGAGGGTGAGGTGAGGTGAGGTGGGCTCAACTGAAAGAAGGGGATTGGCTGGACAGCATCCCCGTGGGCGTCCATGTGGGCATTGTGGAGAGTGGGCCTGGGCTTCCTAGAGCCTCGCTTGATACTCTGGTCACTGCACCCTGCTGGGTTTGTGCTTCGTGGATGTGGGTCTGCTCCGTGGTGTTCCTGCTTGTGATGAGCGCCCAGCGGGTGGGGGGGGGGAGGCCATGACTGGCTGAAGGTGGCCCTTGTGCCTGGCGGCGCAGCCGAGGCCCATCTGGGCGGGGAATGTGGAACGCCTTCCTCTTATCTCCACAGGCATTGCCTGCTTGTGCTGCGATGCGCGGAGGCAGGTGCGGATGCAGGCCCTGACCTACCTGCAGCGGGCTCTCCTGGTGCATGACCTGCAGGCCCTGGACGCCTTGGAGTGGGAGTCCTGCTTCAACAAGGTACCTCGCCTGCCTGCCTGCCTGAGCAGAGGGAGGCTGGGTGGCACCTCTGCACGCGCACACGCGCACACTGAGCACTGGGGGCTCTTGGCTCGTCTGGGCCTCGTGATGTCATCTGGCCAAGCGCGGAGGAGCAGGTCCTCGTGCAGGCGCGGCCTCCTGCTCATCCCCAGTCATACGGACACCCCCACACTGGGCTCCTGGACGTGGAAGTGCTCTGAGGAGACGGGTGCACGGGGGCCCCTCCCCCTCTGCAGAACCACGGCCTGGCAGCAGACGCTTCGGACTTCGTGCACCTCAGTGGCTCCTCTGTCTGCCCCCAGGAGAACACCGGGGGGTGGAGGGGGGTGGGGGGTGAGCAGTGAACCTGGACTTCTTGCCTCAGAGCTGCAAGTGGTGTCTGCATAGTCCCAAGACAACAGTAGTTAACATGGAGAGGAGGAGGAGGAGGAACTGGTGGCAGTTTTTTTTTGGGGGGGGGGGTTTAGGGCAACGGATGCTTCCTGCCCCTCCACCCACCCACCCAGGCAATGCTTCATCAGCCATCCTAGATCTTTTAACCCGCTTGAAAGGAGGCTTCTGGCTCACAGCCAGTGTTGCAGATTTTACCACTTATCCTCCTCATTTTCTTCCCATAATCAGCTGGGCAAAATACAGCCGGTCCCCCAGTGGAGGGCCAGAATCACGGCAGGGCACAGGCAGGCAGGCAAGCCGCTTCCCTTCAGCCCACACCCTCGTGGGGGCTGGGAACTGCCCCGTGGGACTGAGGTTAGGGGGCAGATCAGGAGCAAATCCCTCCCCAGCTCTGGGCTGTGGGGCAGTCACTCTGTGGGGCTGAATTGTTAAACTTTGGAGTTCCCCAGCTTGAGAAACAGCCGCCTTTATCTTACGGCCCTGAAGCTCAGAGGGGCAGCCATATAAAGAAACCTGGGAGAAAGGCTAGCAGACGGCCTTTATACGGGGTCTCACGTGTCTTCCAGTTGTAAAGTAGGAGGGCCCTGTTGCTATAGCAGCAAAAGGAGACGGCCCACAAAGAGACGAGGAGGAGGAGGGACGTTTTGGCTGCATCAGAGCACAGTACAAGTGGAAACCCTTAAACTGACAGTAGAAGTGATCACTTACCGGCAATGCATCTCGGTGCACTGGCTGTGTATCCTGCTTTGCTGGTAACCCTATGCCTCTGTGGGATGCCTCACCCCGTGGCCACTTGGTTGGACTCCCTCCCCTAGTGGCAGCTGCAGGAGAAGGAAAGAAGGGACTCAGCTGGGGTGTGGAGAGGGCAGTGGAAGTTAGGAAGGGAAAGGAAGAGGCCCCAAAGGCCGCTCCCTTCAGCTGAACACATGAGCGGTTTAAGGAGAGGGGAACAAAAGTGAAAACTACTGCCCCCCCCCCACACACACACACACCAAAAGTGATTCCTAGTGAGCACACTTTTTTTTTTAATGTTACTGATTTGCATGTTGGGGTCTTGCATCGAACAGGTGCTGTTCCCTTTGCTGACCAAACTCCTGGAAAACATCAGCCCGGCAGATGTCGGCGGGATGGAGGAGACCAGAATGAGAGCTTCAACTCTGCTTTCCAAGGTGCACGGGGGGGGGGGGGGGGGGGGCCCCTTTTGCTTCCTTCCTCCAAGCAGGACGTGTTCCGAGCCACTGCGGAGGGAGGAGGACATCCCTTCTGGGAGTGCTCTGGTGTGCCAGGGAGGGGGAGGGGAGACTGAGCTGCGACTCGCGTGAAGCAACCCATAAGCCCCTTTGCCTTTGATCCCGCCAGCCAGTGATGTCACCCAACTCCACCCTCTTGCAACTGGCCCCCTGACCCAGCTACAGTGATCCATGCAACGGTCACCCCCAGGCTGGACTACTGTATGCTGACTCTGTGCTGGTCTAGAGACTGACATGGAAGCTCCAATTGGTCCTGAACACGGTGGCACATGTCCTGGCAGGGACGCAAGGGAGCCTGTGCTGTGCCAGCTACACTGGCTCCCAGTGGAATACTGAGTCAGGTTCAAGGTCTTAGTATTGACTTCTAAGGCCTTGAGCAGTCAGGGACCCACGTACTTTCGTGACCCTCTCCCCCGGTATGTCCCCAGGAGAGCACTCTGATTGGCGGAGAATAATTTGCTGCTGATCCCTGGCCCCAAAGATGTCCAGGGCCGGGGCCTTCTCAGGCCTGGCCCCAGCCTGGTGGGACTCTCTGCCGAACGAACGCTACCCGGGCCCTGCCGCCGCGGGATCTCATGCAGTTCCGCAGGGCCTGCGGGGCAGAGATGTTCCACCAGGCATTTGGTGGAGGGCAGCGAGCGAGGGTGTGGCTGTCACTCTGCACTCTCCCTCCCTCCCCGTTTCATCTGCTTCCCTCCTCCTCCTCCCCGGCCCATGGCGGCAGGGGTGTGTGTGTGTGCAGTCCAGTGTGGAGATAAAAGATTTATTAGGGCACCATCTTGGGTTTTAGGTTTTTTTAATGACGTTTACTGTATATTTGGATCATTGTATGATTTTATCTATTGTTTTATCATTGTTGTATATCACCCAGAGCCCTGTTTTTACAGGGATGGGGTGATTCATAAACTGAAATCATCATCATCGATAGCCCAGATTTTAGACATGCACCCAAGTTACGACTGGTGGCCCCCACATGAAGAATAAACTTGCAGTCCCCTTTTGCTTCACAGCAACCCTGTCGTGAAACAGGCACTTCCTTGAAGGAGTTCTTGGACTCTTCAGCTGTCTCACACCTTTCTTTGGGGCAGTAACAAGTTTTCAGCCCCAAGCCCCCAAGGAGCCCTTTTTATTAAGATGCAGAGAGAGAGAGAGAGAGAGAGAGAGAGAGAGAGAGAGAGAGAGAGAGGCGTGTCTGTTTCAGAAGTCATAAGAAGGAGGAATTCTGTTCAGCCTTCTGTGTGTGAATACAGAGCTTTAGCGAACTGTGTGACAACACAGATTTACTTCACAGGTGACAAACCAAGGTGGGGGGGGTAACCCCACCCCACCCCCATTCCACACAGTATTTTATTTGTAGCCCCCTCTTGTGTGTCTTTGTCAGAAGTTCACCAAAGTGCAGGAAGATCATGGATGTCTTTGCTGTTTTGTCTAGTCATTTAACATGGTTGGTCACAGAGTTTGGCTTTGGTGGGAAATAGAGTTTTTTTAAATACCAAAGATCCCTTTAAGGGCCTTCAGGCCATGGGGGGGGGGGAGCTGCTTTAACTCGGCCCCGTCAGGGTTTGAAAGTGGATAGGGAGGCGCTGCTAGACTAGGACTCCTGGACATGCCCGGCCCCCTGCCTCATGCTCTTCCTCTCCTGCTCTGGTGTTTATGGTGACTCCGACTCCTCCTCCTCCTCCGTTTCAGGTCTTCCTGCAGCACCTGTCGCCACTGCTGTCCCTCCCAACATTTGCAGCTTTGTGGCTGACCATCCTGGATTTCATGGACAAGTACATGCATTCCGGCTCCAGCGACTTGCTGGTATGTGATTTGCTCCTGCTTCAGTTTTCCATTCGCTCCCCTTCCCCGGTGCAGTTATAAAATCCGTGCGTGCTGTCCCCTCTCTCCGTGTGTTTCTCTGGGATGGTTTTGGCGTATTATGCAAGTCTGCCATTCGTTCCCCCTCAAGGTTCACTGGCCCTCCAGAGTGAACCAAGCAGCCGGCCGTGTCTTGCTTTGCAGCCAGAGGCAATCCCGGAGTCGCTGAAGAACATGCTGCTGGTGATGGACACAGCTGGCATCTTCCACAGTGCTGACTCACGAACAGGCCACTCAGACCTCTGGGAGATCACCTGGGAGCGCATCGACTGCTTCTTGCCAAAGCTGCGAGAGGAGCTCTTCAAGCAGACAGTCACCCAAGGTATGTGTGTGTGTGTGTGTGTTGGCAGGAGGCCTCTCTGTGTGGGGGGACCAGCGAGAGCAGAGCCTTGGCTGTCTGAGAAGGGTGTTGGGAAGCAGCTGTGCCAGGGACTGGGGGGGGTTCCCTGTGGTCAGGCGACGCCCGTGCTTGGGGGCTCGAGTGGCCGCGTAGGGTGCTGGCTGGGCAAGGGCAGCGGGGGGGGCGGCCAGCCCAGAGTCCTTTCTCAAATGGGGGGTCCCGCAGACTTGTGGCCCTGGGTCGTTCATGTCTCAGCCTTTTCTGCTTGTTGCTTCTATTTAGACCCAGTTTCCGCTTTACCATCAGAGATGTATCCCCCAAAACCAATGGCATCTGTTCTGCCACATCCCCCTGGAGGAGACACAAGGCCAGCCCCACACTCTGCACCCCCTGAGAAGACTCCTGAGCTGGCCAACACCAGTAAGCCCGGCACTTCCTACCGTGATGGAGGTTGTGTGTGTGTGTGTGTGTGTGCGCACTAGCAGTATGCCCAGTGCATTACCGACGAATGGCGGGCACAGCGTGAATACGGAGAGGCAAGGCTGAGATGGATGCGAAGCAAATGGAGCGGCCCCCCAGACGTCAGTTCTCTCTCTCGGGGGGCTGTGTCAATGGCTTCACAGGAAAGGTAGGTTTGGAGAAGGGGACTTCTCACCTCCTACTTCCTGCTGCAGCCTGAAATGTGGTCCTCAGTTTGGCCTGCAGCCAGGGAGGGGGAGCAAGACAATTGCGCCTCACTGATGGAAACCTCATCTAATGGGCTTGTAGCAGTGGTCCACCTGGTGTCCTGTCTCACACAGCAGCCAACTAGTGGCCCCAGGGGGCCAACAAAGAAGGCATAAGAGGCCAACAGCTTCACCTGGTGCTGCCTCTTGGCATGGCGCTTGAGAGGCGTGCTGCCTCATATGGATATGGAGGGTCCCTTTAGTCACCAGGGAAAGCAGCCACTGAGTGAGGGAGCTCTCCTCCATGCACCTGCTTAAACCCGCCCGCCCCCCCTTCAACTTCATGGCTGCCCCCAAGTGCTCGTAGCATGGGAGAGAGAGAAAAGGCTCCCTCTGCCCACTTTCTCCAGCCCAGGCATGATTGTATAAACCTTTGTCATGCCTCCCCTCAGCCATCTGTTTTCAAACCTGAAAAGTCCCCAACTCTTTAGCATCACCATAGAAAAGGTGTTCCAGCCCCTTAACCATCTTGGTTGCCTCTTCTGCCCTTTTCCCACCTTTGCAGTGTCCGTTTTAAGACACAGCGACCGTAGAACATCATGGCCAGGAAGAAAGTAAGGAATTGAGAATGAATGATGTAATTGAAACTTTAGAAAGCAAGAAAGGTGTTTGTTATCATGAGAGACGTTCAAGGGAAGGGTTTTCTTAGCAGATCTGAAGGACGGCAGGCTGAAAGCAGGTAACACAATACTTAGGGCAGAAGGATAGAGTAAACATGGTACAGATGGGGTGCTAGATTTCTGAAAGCAGGCTGGGGCAGGTTTAAGAGAGCTAACAGAGTGAAGGGCGGAAGGTTCAGAAAGGGAAATTGGGGGGTGAGGCAGAAGACTCTGCAAGGGGAGTGACAAGAAAAGGGGGGGGGACCAGGCAAGGAAAGCAAAGGCCCATGCAGAGAAGATGCAGATGGAAAGTGACATTAGAAAAAAGGCATTTTGGAGAGGAAGAGTGAATCTGGATTAGAGAGTGAGATTGTTAAACAATCTCTCTAACTAGAAGTTGTTTAGCATGTATAGTGAAGGTAATCAGGAAGACAACAACTTTTGGTACGAACATCTCTAGAGGTGCAAGTTGAAAATGATGCATGCTGGATAAAAGAGATGAGTTAAGGTTGTGGAGGAGCAGGAGACACCGAAAGAGATCTTGGTGTGAAGGTAAGAGGAAACAAGGGTTGAAAGCAGAAGGATCAGAAGAGGAAACAGCATGGAAAAGAGAGCGCCTCCAGATTGAGAGCCTGGGACGGGAGTCGATGGGATGGAGAGGGGGTCCCTTGGGGGAGGGGCTGAGAGAGTGACGGGAGACCTCTGTAAATGCTTGAGCAAGAGCAGGCCCGATGAGTATTCGGGAGGTCAAAGGCCTCGGCTGCAGTGGACCTCTTCTGAGCACAGTGACAGCAGCACTTCCCCTCTTCCTCCTGCAGATCCCGAGAGCGCCTCTGCCGCTGGCACCAGCCCCTCCGGACCGCAGGTGCTCTCTCCAGCAAAAGGGAGCTCCGTGAAAGAGACCCCTCCGGCAGGGGCGCAGCCGCCGCTCATCCTCCGGCCTCTGGCCTCCCCCTTGCAGGTGGGGGTGCCGCCAATGGCATTGCCCATTATCCTGAACCCAGCGCTCATCGAGGCCACCTCCCCGGTGCCGCTCCTGCCTTCTCAGCGGCCCACTGACCCTGTGGCCACGTCAGAAGTCAACTGAGGGGGGGGGGAGGAGAGGGCAGCTGGCTGCGGGGGCAGCGGAGGGGACTCAGGCCGTGCTCTGTTGGGCAGAAGTTGTGCTGGCTGTGTGGAAGGCCGAAGCCGGAGAGCAGCAGGCTGCTTTGCCCGGACGGCTGTCCTCTCTGGTGGAGCCCGAGCCAAAAAACCCATCCCCCCTTGGGCAGAGGCCGTCCGTCTCCGTGCTGCCCACAGCCAGTTCCCCTCCCCTGTTCTTTAGAGCTCTGGAGGGCAGCAGCCAGGCTCCTCCTGGCGGAGGAGAGCAAGGAACTGGCTTCCACGAGAGCTTCCGGAAGAGATTCGGCCCCTTTCCTGTCCTCTCTCTTCCTTGCCACTCGCCCAGAAGGGCGCTGTTTTTCAGGCCTTCCCAGGGCTCGAGTGGGCATGCCTGGTCGCCTGAGCCGGAGGATGCAGAGGCCTGAGCTCTGGGGCGGAAGAGATTCTCTCTGCAGTGCCAAGCAAGTGGTACCATCTTGGCCAAAATCAGCCTCTCCCCCTTCCAGTGGAATCCCAAGGGGTTTGCTCCAAGCATCCTGACCACGTGCCCACAGCTTCCGGGGGGGGGGGGGGGGGGCTGGGGCAGACAGACCTGGATGAGAGGCTGCTGGGAGCCAGCAGGAGGCAGCTGCCACTGGACATCCGAAGACCCCTGGAAGAATTGGCTGCCAAGTTTCTTCTGGTCCTTTTGCCAGCAGCCTGTTGCACTTTAGGAGGAAGAGGAGGAGGAGGCCCTCTCAGCATGAAACCCGAGAGTCCAACGTGTCCCATCGAGTGCTTCATTCCTCGTATGCACTATGGACTACAGTGCTCCACATTTACTGCAGAATCCCCCTGGGGAACGAAAACTGGTGTCTACTGGGTGGAACAGCAGGCGACTCTGAGTGTGTGTGTGTGTGTATATATATATACATATACATATATATATATATATATATATATATATAAAGAGTCAGTCGACTTTTTACAGTGGAATAAATATGACTTGTAAATGAAGTACTTGGCTTTCAGTAGTTCCTACTGTGTTTTGATTTTGGATCCCATGGGGACAATAGAGAATGGGATTGTCAACTCTGGCCTGTTTGCCGCATCCAGAGAAACTAACCAAAGGCTTCCAAGGCTGTTGGTTTGAGGAGACAGTTGAGAGGGTGGGATAGGAGGAGGAAAAAGGTTGGATTTGTGCCCCATGGCCCTTCACTACCCAAAGGAGTCTCACAGCAGCTTACAAACTCCTTTCCCTTCCCCTCCCCACAACAGGCACCCTGGGAGGCAGGTGGGGCTGAGAGAACTCTTTCAAGAACTGTTCTTTCAAGGACAGCTCTTATCAGAACTACGGCTTGCCCAAGGTCATCCAGCAGGTGCAAGTGGAGGAGGAGTGGGGAATCAAACCCGGTTCTCTCAGATTAGAGTCCGCGCACTTAACCACGACACCAAACTGGCTGCCAGCATTTCCCGTCCCAGGAAGCAGAATCATTTTAAAAATCCCTCCCCTGTTTAAGTTTGACACCTTTCCTTGAGGATCCGTGCTTCAGAATCATGTTTTTGCAGAATGGTGTCACCACAAAGCCGTGGATCCATGATTTTTGTGGTGTGAGCCGTGGCCGTGGATGTGTTATGTGATTTGATGGTTTGTTTGGGGTGACCCAATTGAAAAACCATGAGGATCCATGCTTTGGAACCAAGTTTTTGCGGTTTTGTGGTGCCACAAATTCGTGGGGGCATGATTTTTGGAGTGCTGCCTATAGTCTAAGACATGGTCCACAGTATGACGGTGGTCTTATTTCATTTCAACGTAAAAATCATATGAATTCATGAGGATCCATGTAGATCCGACTTTTAGCCAGACCCAAAAACTGGGAGCCAGTCAGAGAACTTGATGCCTACTTTAGCACAGTGGTTTATCAATATAAGGCTATTAAATGGCTGATTTAAAAAAATCCCCCCCACCGGGAAACCTGCTGTGTGGAAGCCCCCCCCCCCCCCCCCCCCTTGTATGAGCAGCCACAGCTGTGACAGGGAAACCACTGCACAAGCCTGTCCCCCTAGGCCGGTGGTGGCGAACCTATGGCACGGGTGCCAGAGGTGGCACTCAGAGCCCTCTCTGTGGGCACACGTGCCATCGCCCCAGCCAGGCCCAGACCATCATCAAAGTGTCGAATTCTCTGCCAAATAATTTTGAGTAAATGAAAGCCTTTGGGATTGCTTTCCTTACTTTGTTTGGATCATCTTACGTTAACGTAGGTGTTGTTTTTTCTAAAGTACAACCTCAGTATCCAGGTTAAATTGCCGTGTTGGCACTTTGCGATCAATAAGTGGGTTTTGGGTCGCATTGTGGGCACGCGGTCTCTAAAAGGTTTGCCATCACTGCCCCCAGGGGGCTGTGCAGACAGGAGGAACCCGGGTTCTCAGCCGCTGGGTTCACCCAGAAGGAGCAAATTCTCACCTTCCTCCCCATGAGGATGTCTCAGATGGTTCCCGAATGGGAGTGGCTGTCCCTGCCTCCTCTGGGGAAGACTTGGGAATAACTCTTTGTCTCTGAGGAGGGGGGGGGGCAGAACCTTCCCTGATCCCTGGCAGCACATGCGTGACCTGTTCTCCACCACGGGTGGAAGAAACTGCCTTCCTGAAAGCAACACCATGGTTCTGAGATGAACCTGGGGTGTGTATGGAGGGGAGACCTACCGAGGAAAATAAACACCTGGACCTCTCCTCCCCATTCTTGGCAGGACTAAAGCATTAGGGTGCCAGCCTCCCGGCCCCATAGCCCTCTTAACACTTGCATTCCCAGGATCCGGCGTGGGGCTCCGTCAAGGGAGGTGGCTGTGGCCTTCATTTTGCTCACCCTGATCCAGAGATGCGTTGGCTTCCCAGCGAAGGTGTGTGGGTGATGCCATGCAGGAGCAAGCCTTAGGAAGGCGCCTCCGGCTTCTTTGCCCGGCCTGGAGTCACTTGGCTAAGGCCTCTCCCGCTCGTGAAGCACCCACCGCCCCCTTCCCCGCTCGTCTCATCCTAACAACCGCTTCATCTCTCTCCACATCCACCAGACTTCAGGTATAAATGAGGCCTGTGCCAGTCTGGCTTCTGCATGAACACTGCGTTTGATTTTCAAATGTCCATAAAGCAAATACATCCACGTCTTAAGACTTAAGATAAACAATGTAAAATATGCTGCAGTCAGCAAGTAGATCCAGTCCTTAGGACTTGAGACAGACAATAAGAAATAAGATGCAGTCAACTCATCCTCCAGATTATCCAATGAGTTTTCGCTCCCTTCGTCAGGACTGCACAGCCACAGGAACTTCTCAGCCAATGATGCCTCCAAACTGCCTTATTGTCCAGCAGTGTCTCCAATATTTTTCTTTATTCATGCTGGATACCTAGCTCTATAGGTGCTCTGCCATCTAAATGAATGTAAAGGCGGCTCTGCATCCCAGGAGGACAAGCAGACGTGCATACACACTTCACAGGCAAAGAGCCTGTGATCATCAGGTGAAGGGACCACGTCAAGAATCCTGCAGTGTTCGTGCAGAAGCCAAACTGGCACAGGCCTCATTTATATCCTCATGATCCTCATGAATTCACATGATTTTTACATGGAAATGAAATAAGACCACCGTCATACTATGGACCATGTCTTAGACTATAGGCAGCATTCCAAAAATCATGCCCCCACGAATCTGTGGCACCACAAAACTGCAAAAACTTGGTTCCAAAGCATGGATCCTCATGGTTTTTCAATTGGGTCACCCCAAACAAACCATCAAATCACATAACACATCCACGGCCACGGCTTGCACGACAAAAATCATGGATCCATGGCTTCGTGGTGACACCATTCTGCAAAAAACATGATTCTGAAGCATGGATCCTCATGATTGCTTGGGTTTCTTGTGTTGGGACACCCCAAAGATACCATTAAATCCCATATCATGTCCATGGCTACAGCCTGCACCACAGAATTCACAGTGTCACAGCTTCATGGCAACACCATGCTGCAGAAACTAGGTTCCAAAGCACGGATCCTCATGTATCCTTATGATTTTTGCATTGGGTCACCCCAACATCACCATTAAATCACATATCTTGTCCATGGACACAGAATGCACCACAGAAATCATGTTCACAGCTTCGTGGCAACACGATGCTGCAAAAACATGGTTCCAAAGCACAGATCCTCATGGATCCTTGGGGTTTTTGTATTGAGTCACTCTAAGCACACCATGTAATCACATAATATGTCCATGGTCACAGCTTGAACCGCAAAAATCATGGATCCCCAGCTTCGAGGCGAAACCATGCTGCAAAAACATGATTCTCAAGCATGAATCCTCAGGGATCCTCAGGGGTTTTGCAATGGGTCACCCCAAACACACCATCAGAATCACATAACATGGCCATGGCAACAGCTTGCACCACAAAAATCACGGATCCACAGCTTCGGGGCGAAACCATGCTGCAAAAACATGATTCTCAAGCATGAATCCTCAGGGATCCTCAGGGGTTTTGCAATGGGTCACCCCAAACACACCATCAGAATCACATAACATGGCCATGGCAACAGCTTGCACCACAAAAATCACGGATCCACAGCTTCGGGGCGAAACCATGCTGCAAAAACATGGTTCCAAAGCACAGATCCTCATGGATCCTTGGGGTTTTTGTATTGAGTCACTCTAAGCACACCATGTAATCACATAATATGTCCATGGTCACAGCTTGAACCGCAAAAATCATGGATCCACAGCTTCGTGGCGAAACCATGCTGCAAAAACATGATTCTCAAGCATGAATCCTCAGGGATCCTCAGGGGTTTTGCAATGGGTCACCCCAAACACACCATCAGAATCACATAACATGTCCATGGCAACAGCTTGCACCACAAAAATCACGGATCCACAGCTTCGTGGCAACACCATTCTGCAAAAACATGGTTCTGGAACACGGATCCTCATGGATCCTCAGGGTTTTTGCAATTGGTCACACCAAACATACCATTATATCCCATATCATGTCCATGGCCACTACTTGCTCC